AAACATTCTCTGGGACTATTATTTCATTTGCCCGACGTTTCGGACTCTCACTCGAGCCCACTGTCGAGGCATGAAAAACGTACAGTTCACTGCGTGATTAAGTCAGCTCTGCCGGGTTGGCCTTGAGCTGCCATTGTTCGCTCCGCCGCGAGTGGCCTTGAACCACTCGCGCAACGCGAGATAGGCATCTGGGAGATCGATATGCCTATTAATAGAGTCCGTGTGCGAGTACCATGCTTCTTGCAGTAGGCGTGAGATTCGGTTTACACTGGCATGTGTACAGTGACGAGCTTCGACGGCCTAAAAAGTGTCACTAACAGTTGATCAACCGCCAGACTGCATTACGGCTAGACACCTGGCACGCCATCTCAGTTTTATTCAGACCGCTTTTAGTGGCTAATGTCCCTGCCCAGAATCTGGCGCAGTAAAACCGAAGCTGCCTGGTCTTGTAATGCGTTAACGCAATCGAGTTGTTTCGACACAAGCGATATCTAAGAAACTACGACGTCCGGATTATAGGTTCTCTCGCAGTGATCTGTCTGCAATACACGTAAGTGAACCCATGCATTGGAATCTGTCAGTGTTTGAAAGGGCTGCGGTAAGTGATCCAGGCCCATCTGTTAGCTCCTCCTGCCATCAGTGATCAACTCAAAAGTGCGAATATACCAAACTGTTCTCGGATGTATTGTTGGTCGTTTGAAAACCTTCATTCCTTTTATCTGTATGAAACTTGTTTGTCTTGATGGAAGTTTACAACGCTTTTTCTACATGCTTTCACCTACACCAGACAATCCAGCAATCCTGAGCCTGCAGGCTTGGTTCAAGATATGGGCCTTTCAACGGCCGATCCGCATAATTAACATGGTCGAGACGAAGAAACTCAAATTTTCTTCACTTCTGCCAGGAATGCTCATAGTGCCCTACGACCCACGAGGTAAGTCCCATCGCCATTATTTGATGTGGGTTTATAAAGCCCCGGTCTGCGAACTATGCCTTTTTGAGGAATGGATAGGGATCTGTGTAATGAAGTTGGGCTACCACTTATACTGTCATCAGAATTGCAATCACACTGTTTGAATCCAATTAATACGTCTATACCGTTGGTGCCTGCCTTCACTTTGACGGAACAGTAGACATATTCAAAAGGCGCTAACCTCTCGTAGGACTGACGAAAGACAACTAATAAAAGTTTTTGACTTGCTAGTACTGTATTTCATACAGAAGCTTTAGAAGAATGAAGTCCGTTTTTACGGGAGACAGTAACTGCATTTTTATTGATATTTTCAGACGAAGAATACTCCGAAGTTGTCCAACTTGACGCTGACCACCACACCATCTGCAAACCTGAGACGAAAACAGATGAAATCTACCGACGTATAGTCGCCCTTATCAGGGACCAAGTGGACTTTCATTAAAGAATTTTTTTACTTGAACAAAACCTCTTCTTCTCGTCCGCCTCGTTTGTTTACCCCCATTACTCAAGAATATTTTCGTAACTTGAGCATTTCACTTTTTTCTGACGATTCCTTATAAATAGAGATGGGAGATTTGTCAGGTCTGTGGGGTGTGTATGATGATGCGGTGAGCTCCGCTTTCGTGGATGCGCATTTGACCGAATAGGCCCATGTGGTAAGTGAAAGTGCGTACGTTGCGTGGGCAGTGGAAGCGGGTGCAACGAATGTGTTGTGACTAGCTCGAGTCGAAGTGAAATTTCCCGAAGACTCACAGACGCTAGTCTCGACGCCTGTATTAGCCAATCACAGTGGCCGCATAGATGCCTTTTGGGCCGACGACGAATAGCATGCCTGCATGCGTGATGACGCAATCTGGCCAAAAACCTTCAAGGCCGACCCAGCCAATGAACGCTCCCTCTCTGTCCACTGGCCTGACTGTTGTCAAACCAGCACTTGGACCCGCCCGGCATCCTGGCTGGTCGTATGCTCTCCAAGTCAAATCTCTTTCCATCTATTCTCCG